GCACTGCCAGAGGAGCCGTGTGCTTAACAGGGTACGGATGCTTCGTGTGCACGGGGACAGACGCTCGTGGTCCGTGAAGAGAGGGGGCAGTGAGTTCTGGCACAGACGTTCCTGTGAGCTGGAGTTCGCACTGCACCAAACAAGACGTGGTGCCAGCCTGGACCAAGGGAGCATTTGCGACGCTGCGACTACAGACAACTGTTCAGGCCAGGTTTGAGCTTGTTTCTGGTCTTCACAACCTGACTGTACGCAGGCTGCCTCAGCTGTGCACTGATCGCAGTTCCAGCTTGAGGATACAAAGGGACCAGGAAAGAGCCGCTCTTCAGACCAAGGATCAGCAGCGGTTCCTTGTGTGCAGGGCAGGGTGACTGTGGAGGGCTGAGGTTGTCCAAGAAGCGGCCTTGGCCCTGTTGTGTCCCTGGGAGCAGGGGCAGCCCAAGGGGGATCCTCGACCTTCTGCTGTCTCTGCCAGCATGGCCAGGGTGCAGCAAGGCTCGGCCGGCCTCTGCAGCAGAATTTTGAATGACTGCTGCTGCCTCGATTGCTCTTCTTGCTCATAATCGTCTCCAGCTAATGAAGGGAAGGGGAAGCCCACCAACAGTGGTAACAGGAACACTGCTGAGAGAAGGACTAACAGGGCTTGGCTTTGGGTAATAACTGATTTGAGCAAAAGAGGGCTTAGCACATAGTGCTATAGCTGGTGCAGCTATTTTATGGTAATCAGGTAAGCAAACTGGGTGAGTTCTTAGCTGTTTGCAGCACCAGCGGGGAAGAACACAGGCTTTGCATGGGAAAGTAAACCAGTGTGAAGGAGACAGCGCTGGGCTGGAAAGAGCAAGGGGCTGCAGTAACAGCCGTGAGAACAGTGACAGTCAGGCTGTGCCAGGGAGGTTTTTCTCGTAGGAACTAACGCCGTCGATCTCTAACAACGGATTATTGTGCACGGTACAAGGAAGGGGCAAGTGAAAGCCACAAGTGCTGACGAGCATTTTTCGCAGTGTCAGGGTGGGCAAACTGGGTATAGCACCTTATTTTAGGCAGGGTACAGACTTCACCACTGCCTGCATCCAGCAGAGCTGTTGTACAGGGAAAAGGTTCAGAGTCAAATTCTGACTCATTTTTTTGGGGGAAAAAATTATGTGCAGCTGGGGCTGTGGCACTCAGGCTTGGGAACGGCAGGAGCAGCTCAGCAGTGCCACCTTTATAGGAAAGGCAGGGTCATTGCCTGCAGCCTGGGGAGAAGTGGCAGAAAAGGACCTGGGGGTGTTGATTCAATGGGCTGAACAGGAGCCAGCAGTGCCCAGGGGCCCAAGGAGGCCAGCGCCATCCTGGGCTGCATCAGCCATGGTGTGGGCAGCAGGAGCAGGGCAGGGATCATCCCCTGTGCTGGGCTCTGCTGAGGCCGCCTGTCGAGTCCTGGGGTCAGTTTTGGGCCCCAAAAGGGACATTGAGGGGCTGGAGCGTGGGCAGAGAAGGGCAAGGGAGCTGGGGAGGGTCTGGAGCAGGCGAATGATGGAGAGCGGCTGAGGGAGCTGGGAAGAGGAGGTGAGGGGAGACCTTATCCCCTCTACAGCTCCTGAAAGGAGGGGGTAGAGGGGGAGGGTGTTCTCTCCTCACAAGTCACAACTGACAGGACAAGGGGAAAGGGCGTCACGGTGCACCAGAGGGGTAGGTCACACATCAGGAAACCTGCACTAGGAGGGTCATCAGAGACCGGCAGGGGC